ACAGGATGCGACATCCATCTGATGGGGAGGCATGGAAACACTTTGATAGAATAAATCCAGATTTTGCAGCAGAACCCAGAAATGTCAGGCTTGGATTATGCTCGGATGGTTTTACTCCTTATATCCAATCGTCAGCAATTGCCTATTCTTGTTAGCCAGTTATTGTTATCATACAATCTCCCTCCTGAGATGTGTATGACCAAACCGTATATGTTTTTGACATGCATCATTCCAGGACCGTCGAGTCCAAAGGCAGGAACAGATGTATATTTACAACCTTTAATTGATGATTTGAAGAGGTTGTTGAATGGAGAATGGACTTATGATGTGTCGCGCAAACAAAACTTTAATATGTGAGCTGCTTTGATGTGGACAATTAACGACTTTCCTGCATATGGCATGCTGTCTGGTTGGGGTACGCATGGCAAAATGGGATGTCCGCGTTGTTAGAACATAATTTGGTTCTACATCCCAGTAAGAGTTTTGATGATAACAAACACATGATATAAAGAACAAATATGCTCGCTAATAAAAGTATCTTTACGTGCAGGAAGTTCTGATGTGAAAAAGATATTCTGATGCAACTGGAAGTTCTTCCAGAACATCACTAGAAGTTATGATTATGCAAGCACAAAAATTGAGAGAACAATGAAAGATTCAGACGCATCAAATATGCTGACAAGCTTATATGAAGAAGTTCTGTTTGAACTTATGAATGCACCAACGTTGCGAAACAGAATATCTGATACTCTGATGCGCAATGTTTTGATCAAGTTGTAAAGGACTCTCAACGGTAACATTCATTCTCTGATGTAAGAAGCTCTGAAGTGTTACAATTCTATCACTGCAAGATCATAAGTAACGACTACAAACAGACAAGGATCTACTAATTTGGAAAGCTCATTAACTCGTGTTATGGACTTACCAAAAGTATCTTCTTATGTCTCTATTGCAAGGCCTATATAAAGCAGACTAGAAGAAGATTTCAAGACGATGAACAACTGCGCTCAAAAAAGAAAAACTCATGTGAAAAGTCAGCAATGCAACTATCATTCTTCATCTTCAACGATTCAATATTAAATTGTATAATACATCACAAGTTTGTGATACTGTTTATTAGAAACATCATTGTACACTTTTATTCAATTAACTGTTTAGTGAATTTCCTTGAGAAAATCGGGTTGTGGTTTTGGACTTAAGAAGACTTTAACAGTTGTTAAAGTAGAATTGTAATCAGGTTGAAATTAGTGGATTAAGACCTCGTTGGAGAGAGGCGAAATCACCTTGACGGGTGGACTGGAGTAGTTTGAGATCAAATGAACTAGGATAAAAATATTGTGTCTTTGCGCATTTGATTTCAAGTTTTCAATTCAACCCCCCTCCCCTTCTTGTGTTTTTCACTTCTTCGATTGGTATCGGAGCACCTGGATCTGGGTGCAAACACTTAACCGTGTCAGATAAAGATCCAAGGGGGAAACACACTATGATGGGAACAAGTCAGAACATCAGCAGCAACCCTCCAATATTTGACGGTGAAAATTTTGACTACTGGAAGGATATGATCATAAGTTTCTTCCTAGCCTATGACGCTGACCTCTGGGATGTGGTAACTGATGGATACATACATCCAGTTGATGAAAGCGGTCAGAAGATTGATAGAAAAAGGATGAAAGATCATCAAAAGCAAGACTTCAGAAATCATCACAAGGCCAAAACGATTCTCTTAAGTGTCATCTCATATTCAGAGTATGAGAAGATCACAAATAGAGAAACAACTAAGAGCATGTTTGTTTCTCTGAGAATGACGCATGAAGGCAACATGCAAGTAAAAGAAACCAAAGCCCTTGCGCTCATTCAAAATTATGAAGCCTTCAGAATGGAAGAAGACGAAACCATTGAAATAATGTTCTCTAGATTCCAAACTCTGGTGGCAGGGATAAAGGTATTGGACAAAGGGTACTCAACTGCTGATCATGTTAAGAAGATCACCAGAAGTTTACCAAAACAATGAAGACCAATGGCCACGGCGCTCAAACTGGAAAAAGATCTGAACATAATATCTCTAGAAGAACTTGTCAGCTCCCTTAGAATTCATGAGATAGAGTTAGAAGATGATGAGCCTCAGAAGCAATGTAAGTCTCTCGCTCTGAAATCTAACAAATATGAAACCAAAATTTTGCAGGCAGAAGAAGAAGCAGAAAACTATGGAGAATCCTCGTCAGAAGAAGACGAATTGTTCTTTCTATCCAGAAGAATCAATTAGCTATGGAAGCACAGGCAGAAGAATTTCAGAAACTCCAGAAGAACAGGAAATGACTCTGAACAATCCTCTGGATACAGAAAATCAAGTAACAGAATCAATACCTGCTATGAATGCAATAAAATAGGTCACTACAAAAGTGATTGTCCAAGGCTTCAGAAGGAGAAACATAAAAGGAAGATCATTAAGGAGAAGAAGAAAAGTCTTATGGAAACATGGGATGACTCTGAATCTTCTGAAGACGAAACAGAATCAGAAGATGAACAAGCCAATATAGCTCAAACGGAAAACTTATTAGATGTCTCTGAATCTTCTGAATCTGAATCAGGGTCAGAATCAGAATCAGACACTGAAGAGTTATTTCCTGACTTTACTGTTAATTTTACTAAAGCTGAACTAGGAGAAAGTCTGAGTGAAATTTTGGAAAGGTATCAGCAGCTCAGAGTCAAATTCAAGAAACTGAAAAAGGATCTTGCTTCTGACTCTAAAGAAACTGAGAGTCTGAGATTAGAAAACTCTGAGTTAAAAGAAAAGATTTCAAAACTAGAAAATGACTTACAAAACTCTCAGAAGGAAATAATCTCAGAGGATCCCAGTAATGCTGATAAGATCATAAACGAATATGATCAAAGCTTTCATAAGTTTCTGGCTAAAAACATAGATAGAAGCAAAATGGCTTCAATGATCTATGGAGTTAGCAGGAATGGCAGAATAGGTATAGGATACAAAGGAAAAGTATCCCAACCTAAGAAAGTTAAGGATCTGGTTATCAAACACACTCCTCTCTATTCTCACTTCACCACTGGGAAAACACATGATATAAAACATGCTGGTAAGGTGTTTTATACTAAACCAAAATCCAAACATGATTTTGGAAACTCTAACAGTCATGGACCCAGAAAGATATGGGTACCAAAAGACAAAATCATCTATGTTGCAGATATTTTTAACAGCAAGGTTGAAACTCTAGTATTAACACCTGGACTCTGAATGCTCTCTACACATGGAGGAAAGAAAGCATATGTTCCAAAACCTGGAATTTAAAGGATTCGTAGATTTCAGAGGCAATCAGAAACAAAGGAGCAGATGTCACACCTTTTCTAGCAACTTCTATTAGAGCAAGCCAAACAGGGTCTTTTCCACTTTTTGATTCTCGACAAAAAGGGGGAGAATGAAGAATATTTTGATTCATAATCAGAAGATCTTCAGAGAAGTATTTTATTTTCTCGTTAGTTGAGTACTCTACTCAGGGGGAGACTTCCTTTTAATTTGGTTCTTTATATTCCATCAAAATATACTAGTTTTTATCATCATCAAAAAGGGGGAGATTGTTAGAACATAATTTGGTTCTACATCTCAGTAAGAGTTTTGATGATAACAAACACATGATATAAAGAACAAATATGCTCGCTAATAAAAGTATTTTTACATGCAGGAAGTTCTGATGTGAAAAAGATATTATGATGCAATTGGAAGTTCTGCCAGAACATCACCAGAAGTTCTGATATTGCAAGCACAAAAGTTGAGAGAACAATGAAAGATTCAGACGCATCAAATATGCTGACAAGATTATATGAAGAAGTTCTGTTTGAACTTCTGAATGAACCAACGCTGCGAAACAGAATATCTGATACTCTGATGCGCAATGTTTTGATCAAGCTGTAAAGGACTCTCAACGGTAACATTCATCCTCTGATGTAAGAAGCTCTGAAGTGTTACAATTCTATCACTGCAAGATCATAAGTAACAGCTACAAACAGACAAGGATCTACTGATTTGGAAAGCTCATTAACTCGTGTTATGGACTTACCAAAAGTATCTTCTTATGTCTATATTGCAAGGCCTATATAAAGCAGACTAGAAGAAGATTTCAAGACGATGAACAACTGCGCTCAAAAAAGAAAAACTCACGTGAAAAGTCAGCAACGCAGCTATCATTCTCCATCTTCAACGATTCAATATTAAATTGTATAATACATCACAAGTTTGTGATACTGTTTATTAGAAACATCATTGTACACTTTTATTCAATTAACTGTTTAGTGAACTTCCTTGAGAAAATCAGGTTGTGGTTTTGGACTTAAGAAGACTTTAATAGTTGTTAAAGTAGAATTGTAATCAGGTTGAAATTAGTGGATTAAGACCTCGTTGGAGAGAGGCGAAATCACCTTGACGGGTGGACTGGAGTAGTTTGAGATCAAATGAACTAGCTCATATTTTGGTTGTTTAGATTTTACCCATCACATCAGGCAGCAACTTGCATAACTGAGATCATTAAATAAAAGTATAACAAATTTTGGCCTACGTATGGTGTAGTTGATGGCGATGACAGAGAGGCTTGGTTTAGGTTATTTCAGGTATAATCAACTTTGTTTAATCTTTTTGATCTTTTTACCTTTATTAAAGTAATTCACTCAATCACGATTATAACTTTATTTCATATTTTTTGAAGGAGAAATGTTGTTGGGACCCTAGAGATGATATCCAAATAAGAGATAATTTTAACATTAAATGTGCTCAACAATTTTCTGACACGATGAGGCGTGTTAGAATTACTTGTGAAAATAAACGCTTGTGTCCCCGTTGGATAAGTCCAGATGTATTTGAGCAGCTTATTGCCCATTGGAATTCTGATTCCTTTAAGAGTACATCTGAAAAGGCCAAGAAAAATAGAGCCTCTGAAGTTGGCGACTGCAACTGTGCCTATGGTAGTATTAGTATTGATGATGTTGCACGGAGAATGGTAAATTTAATTATTTTGCAATTAACTCAACAATTTTAGATTATGTTATAACTATTTTTTTATGTCATCTACTTAGCGTGATGAGTTGGGCAAAACTCCGCTTCTTAATGAGCTCCATAAGAAGACTCATCTCAAGAAAAATGGGGAGTTTGTTGATGAGCGCTCAAGAAAAACTCAAGTAAGTTTTCCTTAAACTTAGTCATTTTATTTATTTCTTTTTTGTCTAGCATAATTTAAATTGCAATAACACTTACTCTTTTTAATAGGAGGAGTATGAAAAACAGCTTGCCCTAAGATTATCACAGCATCCTGAACATACACCACATCCGTCGGGATTTCCCACTGATCCTAGTCTGAGTTTTCAGACTTGGTATGATGTATCTTGCGGGAAGAGAAAAAATGGGAGAGTGTATGGTGTTGGAGGTCTCGCCAAAACAATCTGGCAGCGTGATAGGAGTTTCAGAATGCAAATTGCTTATGGTGAAGGATCATTGACTCAACCTTCACTTACCCCAGACATGATGGAAACTGTGAGATCATTAGCGCACTCTAAGACTGCCTGTGAAGTGGAAGCGAGAAATGCTGAAATAGAAGAATTGAAGAAGAGACAAAGAGAAATGGAGGAAGAAATGAGAAGAAAAATTAGAGAATATGAGGAATCTATGCGTATTTTTCAACAGTTTATGCAATAATTTGGTGGGCGTGATAATCAAGGGCAAAATGACAATGAAGACAGTAACACCGATGAAGAAAATTAATCTTTATCAATAACACTTTTTATTTATAATTATAAACAATGTTCTTGTAATATTTTTATTTTAATTCAGTATTTTATTAATATAATATTAATTATAAATTATATTTTGTATTATATTTAAAAAATATATTACTAATATTATTAATATTGAATTTTTTATTTTATTAAATTATAATTATGAAATTCATTGATTATAAATATAATAATAATAAATTAATTAAATAATTACCCTTATAATTTAAAAAATAAATTATGGTTTTTAGCTTGAGGTAAACCCCCTAGCTAATGTCACTGCAGCATGGTATTTAGTTAGGGGTAAAACCCCTAGCCAATGACCAATCAAATTTTGCCTTTAGCGAGAGATTTAGTCCCAAGCTAATTGGCTAGGTGCTTAACCCCTCACCCCTTGTCTACGACCATTGATTTAGCTAGGGGATATAACTCCTCGCAAATGTTGATTTTGTGAGGTGTTTTTTGACTTAGTGAGGAATTAAACCCCTAGCTAAAGGGCTTTTTTCTTGTAGTGGTAATTGGGTCCTTATATAATTTATTATATTTATCTATCTCCAGTAACTAATAATTCATAATACCTATGAGAATTTAATAATAATGCCCAAGTAATAACAATTTAGACTAAATATTTTAGAGACTAATTAATTTTACACTATCACCCAATTAGAATTAAATTCTTTTAATAACTATTTCTTTCATATTTTTCTCTTTTTATATGTCAACATAATTAATTTTAATTGGATAATAATATAAAATAGTTTTAAATTAACAGTGTATTTTAATTAATCTTAATATTTTATTACATAATGTGTACATCACAAATTTTTTTTGCTTACAAAGTAATTCATGATTTTCACCGGATTATTTTTTATATTTACCTTAATGTTTTTTTACTAGTGTTCATTATGTCAAGCGTTTGTTTAAAATTGTATTATCGATGATTCAACTCGATCAGATTGTATTTTATCCAACCATCAGTACCTGTGAAATGTTCTCGATACACAATCTTTGCCACCCTCCTGTTGTCGGAATCATGGATCAAACCATTCAACGTTTGTCAAAAAAATCTCGACCGTCCTGTTTACCTTGGTATTTGGTAAACAACCGCTGATCCTCCAAATGGTTACTTATTTGGTTACTCGCAGGATCGATCAGATTGATCCTAGGACATAGGTTGATTTTTAAGTTTTGATTAAATTGGATATTGGTTAAATGACAATGAAATAAAGAGGTTTTAGGTAAATTGCATGAAGAAAGGACTTGGTAAAATAAATAAGGCTTTAAATGAAAGGCTTCGACGGGAAAGTAAAGAAGAAAGCAAGTAAATTTCTGGAAAAGTAAATGACTTTGATTAATAAAGTTGGTGTTTCACACATACATTTCTCAACAATTCTTTCTCACACGCTGGGTACTCGAATCTATATGAGTGACTTTGTATAGAATTGTGAACACACGCGAAAAACTACATGACTACTACTATTTATACTAAAACATCCCAAGTAACCGTCGGGCAGTTACACTGCTTCGAGATCATTCCACTTGGCACGTTCTCCATGTTCGACGCTCCACATCTTCGCACGTTGCATTTGGTAACCGCTGGAAACCGTTTTCCCTCCAAACGCTTGAATTTCAAACTGCTCCACTCTGAACCATCGAACAACTTCGTCGAGAAACATCTTCGACGAGAAACTCCTTCGATGTCGAAGGCAACCAACTTCTCCCTTGGAAGAAATCTTTTAAGTACCTTGCCATCTTTCGACGGGCATTTCGACAGACCTAGCTAGTCGAAAACATCCTTCAGCTTTAATGGCTGACATTAATAAAACAAGGGTGTCGAATTTAGGAGCCAACAAATTGCCCCCCAAGAATGCCTTATTTCGACTCTGAAAGAAAAAGGCATTCTTTGAAACGCCATTCGACACCTGTCTTTTCACGCTTAGTCACAAATTAACTTGTGCACTTTTTGTTGTCTTTTACCAACCACTGGCAATCCCAAGAAAATCATCATTTATCCGTACCTTAGACGTCACTTCAGTACGGCGTGCAGTACCAAACGTCATTTCAGAATTTGTCATTATGACAATTCCCAAAAAAGAGGACGCACGCTGCGTCTCTCTATTTCTGCAGAACGGCTAAAACAACAGGGGGATGCCACGCGTCCCACTATCTCCTGCAGCATTAAATGGCATTTAATGTCCTCGGTTTTGGGGATTTTCCTCCACTACTATAAATAGCAGTAAGTACCCCATTGTGGGACTTTTTACGCCATCTAGCCTTCAAACTTCTCTATTTTCACACAAACTTGTCATCTTTGCAAAAAACCTTTCTTCCTTCACTTCGTCTTCAACCTCACTATTAACAATGGCATCTGGTTCCAATGCTCCTAGCGCTACTGTACCATCTGGAAACGCCAAACCTAAGGTCTTCGTCACCGCTCCAGTAGTAACTGCTACGGGCCAACGAAGGGTCCCTGAACCCTTGGACATCGCCGTACGTGATGCTTACTCACATCACCTTATGATCCCGGTTGGATATTCCAACCAGATCTTTGCTATGTCTGGCCCCTTGTATCCAAGTATTGCTGAGGCCATGAAGATCAAGAGTTATTTTCCGGTAGTTGAGAAACTCAAACCGGTTGCATGCGCCAAGAAAGATGCTGAAGATAACGAAGAGCCTGCTAAAGAGAAAATCGACCTTCGTTTCTTCAAAAAAGGTGTTAGGGCTTTCAGGTCTGGCCCTAGCCTTACTCCTGATTACGTTGCTTGGCTGGAAAAGATGGAGAAACGCCAAGCCTCAATCTGGAAAGATATGGGGATTTTCGACCTGGTGATGCTGTCGAAGACAGGTTTGAACTATTCTCCAGAGATGCTGATAGCTTCTCTACTTTTCTGGGACTACTCCCACTTTACTTTCCATCTTCCCTGTGGGATGCTGACTCCTACACTCTTCGATGTGGCCGCTATCACTGGCCTTCGACCCACCGGGGACTACTTCGATCCGGAGGAGATGTCGGAGGACCAAATTGGATTCTCTGACACCAAACCAACCTATACAACTTTCATCAATCACTACCACGACAGGTCGACAGATGCTGTGTCGGATGTCGAACACATAGCGTTTCTAGCCTTATGGCTTACTCGCTTTGTATTTTGCTCGAAGTCCTTAAAGGTGACCAAGAAGATGGTCACTCTCGCCACTCAACTCCATCATGGCCAAAATGTCTGTTTGGCAGAATTGATTTTGGCTAGCCCCTATGATTCGATTAGTAATGGGGCAACTCTTCTAAAAATTATCGAGAATAGGGCCAGTTTGCTACTTGCTGGGCCTTTTTGGCTGCTCCAACTGTGGCTCAATGCCACCTTCGAATCTTTCTTGCCTAAGAAGGTTCAAATAAATGAGCAGGCTCCAGAGATAGCGAACAGACGCGTCGAAGGAACCAGACTGGCTCTGTTGACGCCTATGGAAGATGGGCTGGAGTTTCAGCAAACTTTCACCAACTTCGTTCTGATGTTTGCTCGAAGGAAGGAGTTTGCTTCGACTATGGCTCCGTTTTCTCGACGGAAGGTAGGCCCAGCATGGTTCACAAGGCCACATCCAAGGACGTCGAGTGGTCCTAATGTTGACGAACATACAATAATGTGGGAGGCGTTCCTTACACCAAGGATCATGCCTCTTCGATTCAGGAGCTCTAAGACTCATTTGAGTCTGATTGCATACCAACCAAACCTGGTATCTCCCCAGTTTGGTATTATTCAAACCCTACCTTCTCCAATTTTTCCAAGAGAGAAGTCTATGTTGTACTTCTGCAATGATTACACCGAAGAAGCTGCCATTAAGCATATCGGAAGATATGCTGGTCGAACAGTTCTCTCGTTGTTTGACTACCAGCTCAACTTTCTTTGCTCACCATCCTTCGAGGAGTGGTGGAAAAGTTACTACGCTGAGGAGTTTTTCGATGAGAAGGACTTCATGGATGAGCTTCAGAAATCTTTTGTCCTTGTGTTGGACAAAATAAAGAAATGTAAGTTCATCCTTTCACATTACTTTGTCTTTCTCTTTCGACTGCTAGCCTGTTAACTATTTATTTGATTTCAGTTGTTCGAAAGCCTGTAGCCAAAAAGGCTACAGAAGGCCAACAGGGAGGAGGCCCCTCAACAAAACCTCGACCGCCGGCGAAGACTACAGCGCCGGCGAAGACCACAACCAACCAACAGGGGGAAGGCCCTTCGAAGAAGCCTTCTGTATCGGTAACCAGACTTTCATTATTTTCTTCTGGCTTTCGATTTTTGACTTTCGATACAATTGCTAAGTCGAATTCCCATTGGTCTTTTAGGCACCTTCGCCCAAGAAACGGCCAGCACTGGTGGTCGAATCTGGGAGCGATGAAGAAGGTGATTCTCCTCCTGCTCCTCTAAAAAGGCGAAAGCTGACGAAGGACGCTCCTGTTCCTGCTCCTGCTCCTGAGGGTCGAACATTTAGAATAAAGGTTGCTGGGAGAAAGCCCAGACCACCTCCAGTGATCATTGAGGAGCCAACGGAGGAGGAACTAAACGTTCTTCTCAACAAGCCTGTCGAAAGCGACAATTCCAGCCTTGGGGCTGAAGCTAACTTACAGGTAATCTCTTAGACCTTTCTGTATCTTAGGTGTAGATACCTACATTCGATGATGTCTCTTTCGATTTCTGAAGATTCTTCTTATCTCCTTTCTCAGGACACCACTGAAAGCTCACCACCAAGGACCTCTGAAACGCTGGAATTTGCTGAACTCAGCAGGCCACAAGAAAAAGGCTTGGGAAATGACGAAGCCCATACTGAAATAAATGAGGCCAATGCTGAGACGGTAGAAAAACCAGCAGAGGATCCTCAAACGGAAGAACAACAGCCAGAAGAGGTTCAGGTGGTGGATCTGTCGGAAGAGAATCG